TTTGCTCATTTGAGCATTTATCTTTATGTCCTTTTTATTTTGCTCACTTGAGTTTTCTTTTCTTTTTAAAGATACTTAATAACCAACTTGAACATTAAAAAACTTTAAGGTTACTTGGACAATCTAGTTACTATCCTTGGCATAATGGAGTTATAGACCTCTTGGACTTAGTATTAGAAGCCTTGATTAAACTTGGGACCTTATGACTCTGTTGTTATTTTTTATGGAGTTCTTCTGGTTTACCCTAAGACATTGAGTTTATTTTCTTCGTGTGCAGGATATTTTGGCTATATGCCTTGTTTGTGATTGAAAATTCCTCTGTATACAACTGTTACTCAGCCCAATTTTTGTGAAGACTTAATGCATTTGAAGCTTGGTATTCTTGACAGGTTCAGTATCTTTAGTTTCTTGGTTCCAATCCAAAGGATGGGAATTCTACATTGACTCTTTATGTCAAGTGTTGGCTTCTTGTTGGTTAGATGGTTGTTTTCCTTAGCTTTTACTTTATGCTTTAGGATAGTCCCTTCATCTCCTCATATCTTCTTTAATTTAAAAAATCTTCTCCCTCCTTTTCAAAACTCTTCTTGTTTTCTAACTTGAACCGTTTTTATAATAAACTTGGACTTAAGTCCATGCTTTTTTTTATTAAAAAAAAATTTTCTTAATCAAACTTTAACCAACTTAATCATACTTTGACTCTTTTTTTTGTGAGAAGACTAAAAGTCAATTAACCTCATTAAAACCATTTTGCCACTTTGGATTTTTACTTTAAAACTTTTTCTCAAAAGATTAGACTCTTGTCGATTCTTGTAGTGATGCGAGTTACTATACTTCTACGATATATAGTAAAGTGAGATATTTTCCACTTGGGTATTGAGTGAGGCTTTGTTGTTTTTATGATCCAAGCTATATCATCCACTTTTAGATGATGCAAATTCTCCTTTTTCATAATTATGGATAGTAATTATGTTTTCCACTCGAATATGGCGATGATGTCTCTTCTATTAAAATTAACCAACACACTTGTGTTTTAAAATTTTTAAGGTGAACTATGAGTATCCTGATCCCCTATTACATAGAAGGTGGTACGTAGGCACTAAAGGTTCGCAACCGCGGTGGGTGCAAAAATTGTAAAAAAAAATAATTCTTTTCTCATCTCCACCTTATACTTATGTATACACTATTTATAGCCAAAATACACAAATTTACAAAGAGGTTCATGCGGAGTACCTTAGATGTTTAGGGTGCCAATACCTTTCCTTTGTATAACTAACCCACTATAAGAACAAGATTTGATTCTGCAATATCATCTCTTAGTTTTGATGATAAAAAATGAGTATGTTTGTATGAACAGTTTTGATACTCTAATTTTTGTTATTGTTGATTACTTAACAAACATGTTTGGCTTCTGATGGATGACATGGCCAAGACATTAGAAGAGAATTAGTTTCACTTCTGCACTACACAAGTTTCATTGAACAGTAGCAAGACACTCTAGAAGGCTCTGAAGTGTAAACTCTGATGTTTGTCTAAAGAAACCAGTCAGAGGACCTGAAGACAGAAGTTGCTACTTAAGTCTAGATGTTGAAGACTCATGTTTCTGGATACAACGGGTTCTAAAGAAACAATCATAAGATCTGAAGACATAAGTTTCTACTTAAGTCCAAATGCCAAAGACTCAAGTTTCTAAAGACCCAAGGTTCTAAAGATAACGGTTCTAAATACCAAGTGTTGAAGACTCTAAAGACAGAAGCTCTAAATATTCTAAAGGCTTGAAGTTCTAAAGACCCAAGTTTCTAAGAAAAGGTTATCACAACCAAGTACTGAAGACTCTAAAGACGCAGTTCTGAAGACTCTGAAGACTTGAAGTTCTAATGACCATGTGTTATGTTCTCGCTTATAAACTTATGCTCATAAAAGCCTCTGAAGTGTATAAGGAACAAATATAATATTAACATTATACAAACAGTACATGGTACAATCAACGTTTCATTCCACTTCCATGAAATGACAGACACATTGCACGATCTTTTCCCTTATGTTATTGCTCAAGCAGCCAAATGTTTCTGGAAATCCCAAGAGTACCCCTCAACGAATATATTATTTTATTGGCTATATAAAGGTTTGAAGACTAAGAGAGAAAGCTTAAAATCAATGAATTATCCACGCACAAAGCGCTTTTCATAGCTTTAATATTTTTTAGTCATTGTTCTTAAAATAGTTTCAATATTCAGCTTGTGTAGAAGCAATATTCTTGTAAACAAAACTTGTATTCAAACGGTTGTTTGATTTTCCTTAAGGGATTAGGTAGGTCTGTATCCTTAAGAACTCAAGTACTTGTGAGTTTTAGAGGTTGTTAGTCACTTGTGGGTAGCTTGTGCATTGTAATAATCAGGTTGATTATTGTTTCATATTCCTTAAGGGACTGGGTAGGTCTGTATCCTTAAGAAGTCTAGGACTTGCGAGTCTTAGAGGTTGTTAGTCACTTGTGGATAGCTTGTGCAAATTGTAATAAATTTGGTCATAGTGAATTAAGTCCTCGATTGAGTGAGGCGAAATCATCTTGGCGGATGGACTAGACTAGCTTGATAATTTTCAAGTGAACTAGTATAAACATACATTGTTCTTTACTTCTTGTTCTTACTTATTGTTATTATCAAGAGTGAAGGAAAAAGGATTTTAACTTAAAGGGGAATATTTTTAAAGAAAAATTATTGTTTTAAAAACCCAATTCAACCCCCCCCCCCCCCCCCCTTCTTGTTTTTTTCACACCTTCAATTGGTATCAGAGCTCCGGTTCTGAGGAGATAAAAAGTTTGATTTTTATCAACACTTAACGGTGTTTAGTACCAATCTCTTGTGTCTGAAAAACCAATGGCTACAAATACTTCCAATGTTAATAATAGGGATAATGATAGAGATTACTATAGTTCAAAACCTCCTATGTTTGATGGGGAGAAATATGACTATTGGAAGGATATAATAGAAATTTACTTTCTAGCATATGACTTGGATCTATTGGACTTGGTAGTTGATGGCTACACTCACCCAGTAGATGATAAAGGTTATAAGATTGCAAGAAGTGCAATGACGGAAGCACAAAAGAAAGTATGCAGAAATCACTACAAAGAAAGAACCATTCTTCTAAGTGATATTCCATATAATGAATATGAGAAAATCACAGATAGAGAGACTGCAAAGTCTATCTTTGATTCTCTTTAAATGACGCATGAAGGAAATGCACAAGTAAAGGAAACAAAGGCTCTGGCCTTAATTCAAAAATATGAAGCCTTCAAGATGGAAGACGACGAATATGTGGAAACGATGTTTTCAAGATTTCAGACTCTTGTGGCAGGACTTAAGGTTTTGAATAAAGGTTACTCCATCACATATCATGTTAAAAAGATTATTAGAAGTATGCTTTTAAAATGAAGACCAGTGGTAACTTCTTTAAAATTGGCAAAGGATATGAACAACACCTCTCTTGAGAAGCTGATTAACTCTTTAAGAAGTCATGAAATAGAGCTGGAACAAGATGAACCTCAGAAGAGAGTAAAATCAGTTGCTCTAAAGTCTACTTCTGAGAAAACCAAGGCTTATCGAGATAAGGAAGAATCAGAATAATCTGAAGAAGATTCAGATGATGATGAACTCTCTCTGATATCCGGAAGAATAAGTCAAATCTAGAAGCATAGACAAAGCATGTTCATAGGTTAACAAAGAACATATGGAAGAGATGAATCCACTTTCAGTAATATGAATGCTTCTAGAAAATAAGTTACTTGCTTTGAATGCAATGAGCCTGGACATTAAAAAAATGATTTTCCAAAGCTCAAGAAAGACAAGAAGCCTAAAAAGGCTTAAAAAGCTAAGAAGTGTCTCATGGCAACATGAGATGATTCCAAATCAGAAGATGAAGATTCTGATGAAGAGCATGCAAACGAGGCACTCATGGCCAAAACTTGCACAAATAAAGAAACATTAGAAGACGAACTGACACTTGATAATGAGTCAGACTCTGATAACGACAAAGAGGTACTTTCTTTGTTATCTCGCTCTGAACTTGAAATTGGTTTATTTGAATTAATAAAAAGGTATCAATATCTTCTAAGTAAACACAAAATCTTGAAAAAAGAGTTTTGTATCTACTTTTGAGAACACTACTATAGATGAGCAAAATATTTCCGACTTAAATGAAAAACTATTTGTTTTAGAAAAATCAAATATCGCTCTGAAAAGTAAAGTGTCTAGATTAAAAAAAGAGATTTTCCAAACGTTGGAACATTAACTTGTTTTACTCGTACGAGAGGCCTAAGTCGTTCGCTTCGTATTTGAATGGCTAAAACACATTCGTTTATGAAAAGATTTTTCAAAAGAAAAGCCCAAAGGCAAAAGCGATTTGATTGGTTTGTATTTTTTTATCTTGAAAAAATATTTGGTGATTTAAACCACGTTAAAGGACTATCACATGAGAGACTTTGGATGGTCGAGTATGACACCTCATATCCAAAGTGCTCCACACGTGCTTAAGGCTCATGGCACATGGTTCACATCATTATTGTTAAGTGTTTTTGGAGTTTGATAAAAAAAGTTTTAAGGATGCAAAAAGGGGAATGAAAAAGTGTAAGGGAGACTAGAGATCCTAATGTTGTCACACAATGATGGTCCTAAAGTTAGGATGAAAGGGAAACATCTACCTAAGTTAGCATGCATGGATATCGATCTTAAGGTCTATCTCAATTCAAATCTTAACTAAGATTGAATCGAGGAATCCTATGTGAACATGGCATAAAGCGCAAAGTTAACAACCAAGAATAAGTCTCGAATACTTAACAAAACATCAAGATAGAAATTGCACAATTGCACACACAAATAAAATCATTTCCTATTTCAAGGTAGGATTTTAAGTCAAAAATCGCCTACTTCCAGGTAGGACTTCAAATAATAAGAAATTGCTTACTTCAAGGTGGGGCTTTAAATCCAATAGAAATCACCTACTTCATGGTAGGTCTTTAAACAATTAGAAATTTCCTACTTCGGGGTAGGACTTTAAATCAAATAGAAATTGCCTACTTCCAGGTAGGTCTTTAAATAATCAGAAATTGCCTACTTCGAGGTAAGACTTTAAATCAAACATAAATTGCCTACTTCGAGGTAGGTCTTTAAACAATAAAAAATTGCCAACTAGGGTAGGTATTCAGTCATGCGTCTCTATCCTACTTCTCATGGCAAGATTAATTGAAAACGATGCAAGAATGAGATAGTAAAGAGATCTCAAGCGATACCAAACAGATAAGGTCCGTCGCATCTTCAAAGCCACGCAAGCGATGAGAAAACTCTACCAAAAGTCTCCTTAAACTTCCTCAGTGAATATTGCACACTTAGCTTGCCTCGAAGACTTATACTCAAAAGCTCGTGAATCCTTGCGGAAGCTTCACCAACAATCAACCAATACTCAAGTGCACCAAGGTTGCGTCAATAATCATTCACAAAATCATGGCAAAAGTGACAACAGAATAATTATTAACATGGAGAGAATAATTAGAAAACTTTGATTAAATTCTAAAGAGAAACCATAAACATTTCTAAAATATTCTAGATGTCTTTTGTATATTTTTATCATCCCCAAAATCAATATAAAAATATATCAAAACAAAAATACCAGGGAAAGAAAATTTAAATCCAAAGCAGGTGGAGTATGAGGTCTGCATAGGGGTTATGTTTAGAAATTGCAGTAAGGCCCAGCCCAAAGATGATCCATGGTGTTTTTTTCCCAAGGCAATTAGTGTATCAAAAGAAAGAATTGTAACAGGCCAAGAAAGTAACTTGGTCAGCCCAATCTACCAACAAAATCACCATCAAATTTATTATTGACCCACATTACTTTTATTTTATAAAAAAAAATTTAAGAAGTGTGGCTATTGGAATTTCACGTGAGAGTCGCCGGCTGTTTTCTTCCTCTCTTTGTGCCAACGACGTCGAAACTCCTTCCGTCTTCTCCGATCGATCCGCTGTTCACAGCGTTTTCGATCTCCTCATCTCTTCGGCTCAACTCCTCTGGAGACGTCGTCTTCAGGTCCAATCTCCGCCGTGGTTTCGCGCTCTCCGCTCCCCTCCCTCAACAGCGCGGCACCATCACGATTCACCGTCTCCGACGATTCTCTTCCTTCGCCGCCACCATTTCTTTTCCGTCCGTCATCGTCTTCTCTCCAACTCATCATCAGATTCCTTACGATTTCGTTTTCAGTTCGTCTGCTTCAACCGCGATCTGTTTCCAATCGCCTTCGCTCACTTCCGTTCGCGACAGTGTAGACGAGCAAGCCAAGGTAAACTCTTCTACTTGTGTCAAGTTAAAGATAAGAGAATGGCATTAAAAAACTGGAGCATAGTGTGAGGAATCTTTAAGTTGGTGAAGAGATTGGACCATAGATGAAGTTAACTTGAAGCATTTGAAGCATGGAAGTCTCTTGGAGGAAATGGAAAGGTTTCGAAGATTAGGCATGAGTAACTTGAAACATGAAGATTTTAGGGTAGGTTTTTCTTACGACTTTTGATGTAATGCCTTCATGAATTGTAATTTTCTTTGTATGGAATTTGAATGGAACTTAGTGAACATGCTTGTAACTTTTGTAGATGAACTTGAATGGTTTACTTTGGATAATGATATGTATTTGGAATGATGGATATGTGAATGAACTTGAATGAATCTTAACTTTGAAATGAATCACGGTATGCTTTGAATTTGTAACTTCAATACCAAGCGAACTCACGCAATTGCGTCTTAAAAGATTGATTCGATTTTGACGAACTGAAACCATCTGAACTCATGGCATTCAATATCCATTTGAATGAACACCTCCACAATAACGAACCCACACCAATTCAAATCTCCCATCCCCATAAATCTTGCATTACAAGTACAATAAGAGAACCACCATGACTTGATCTCAATAAATTCACAACATCATCCTTATATCATGTCTCAACACTTCGTGCAATTTCAACCTCAAAGACGATCTCAACTTGATAATCAATGATATTAAGACAAACTCCTTGAATGATACTGGAAGATGTGCAAGATTCGACATAAAACCCCCAACCAATCTTCCATTGATAATTTTCAACAAAACCACACACAAAAAGATGAGAAACCCTTATCTTCTGAGAAACACAGAAATAAACTGATTCATGACCACAACTCAGAACTCTAACTTGTAGCAAAAAACATAGGAGATAAATGATCATTTTCAAAACCCTAATTCTTCTGGAGAAACTTGAGAATCTCTTTATCAAATATGCTTTGTATAACGAGATGATGATGATGCTTCAAGATTTTTACCAATGAAGGTGTCACACACTTCAATACTTAAAACCCTAGCTCAGGGATCAAATAGTTAGGAGATGTTGATTGATGAGCAAACCCTAATTTCTTGGGGATTCTTGAAGAATTTCTTGAATGGAACGAGCTTGCATATCAAGAGGATGCTCATGATGATGAGATCCCAACCTTCTAGGCCTCTAAATAGTGAACTCTCTTCGATTGATACTCAAACAACTTCAAAACCCTAGTTTGGCCAGATTGATGTCACTTGCATTTGATGAATGACTTTGTGAATGATAATGCCTTTTGAATTTTTTTGGACCAATGAGAACCCCAACCACTTGCTTTCCTGATGACTTGAGCCAAAAGAAAACCCAATGAGCCTTAATCCCATGAGTGTAACAAGGAGTATGACCTAATGGTAAGTATGCAAAAGCAATGAGTAAGCCCGAAGAAAAGATATGTGGGTAGGACAAATTTGGGTTTGACACATGGCGTTCGGCATGACCTACAACGACGTAATTTAATGAAAATGACTCATGGAGTTCGCCATGAGCCCCATGGCGGTCGTCATGCACCAAGAAGGCAAAAACGTGCATAACAAATTTGGACCTGCTCTTTTCCACCTCCTTATATTTTCTCATGGTAGTTGGACACGTTTTGAAAGTGGAATCAGACTTGTAACACTATATATAAGCCTTAGATAGTTAGTTCTAAGTATCCAGGAATCATTAGTGAAGCTCTATCAAATTGGAAACTCAAACTGTACTCTTGGATCACAAACTTGCCATCATTTTATAGAAAGTTCCAGTTCTTTTATTCTCGTTCTACAGGTTTTACTTTAATTGCATTATTATTATTGTTATTGATTTTGTTGAATTGCCATGTTGTTTCTTATTTAAATAATCATGTTTAATTTGTTTTCACTAAAAATTATGTCCGGCTAAACTTCTATAGTGAGGTATGTAAGTGTTTAGTTATTGGCATGTTTTTTGGTAAAACCAGGTGTGTGAATGTCATGACTGATGTCATAACATTCTGGTTTATTAGGTTCTTTATGCAGAAAAATTATGGCATACAGTAGCTACTGTTTATGAGTGTGTATCTGAGCAATTTGCAATGATCACATTTATTGCCTTCTACCAAAATCAGTAAACAGGAATTCTGATGTCATAACAAATGTTAAGACATCCTGTACTGATCTAACAGTTTGCAGTTTGGTTAATTCTGAGATTTTTCAGGAAGTTGGGTCATTCTTTCCAGAACAGAATCTCACGTGGACCTTAGGTTAACCTAGCTCAACCCTAATCTAGTTGATAAAGTCTTGTGACCAAGTCTTAAGGTTAAACCTAATTAACCCTAGCTTTTTGTGGAAACCCTAACTGAAGAAACAGCTGCATATATATTCAACAGGAATGCTGGTTGCAGAGTAACTCTTTGGACTGAAGATTAATTAGGAGCTGTATAGTTTTAACTACTGTAATCCAAGCAAGTATCATTGTGATAAGTGACTTGGAATAGGTTTTGATTGTAAGGGTTTTTGTATCACTCAAAGCTTGGAAGCAAGAGTGTTTTGTGTCTCTTGACTAAAGCTTTGAAGCTAAGTCAAGTTAGGTTTTTGTATCACTCAAAGCTTGGAAGCAAGAGTGCTTTTTGTCTCTTGACTAAAGCTTTGAAGCAAAGTCAAGTTAGGTTTATGTATCACTCAAAGTTGTGAAGCACGGGTGTTTGTGTTACTTGATTAAAAAGCTGTGAAGCATAATCAAGTGTATGTTCTGAAGAATGTCTTCATTAATTCATTAGTCAATTGTTTTAAGTATCACTGCTGTGATTGAGGGGGAGTGAGTAGGAACTCAGGTTTAAGTTGAACTTAGATTGAAGTTGCATTGGGTAGGTCTTAAGTGAAGGAGATAAACTGGTTGGTTTATTCCTGAATTAATATCTCTTATAGTGGATTTCCTCCCTGGCTTGGTAGCCCCCAGAGTAGGTGTTGTTTCACACTGAACTGGGTAAACAATTGACAGTGTCCTTTACTGTTTTTATTTACTGTCTTATAGAAAGTCAGATACGGTGTCATAACATTCACTGTGACATTGAGTATCTGCTGCCAGAATTTCAATTGGCATCAGAGCAGGCACCCTGCCTGTATTACTGGGTGAGATCTAGGGATATCACTTTCTGGCACTATGGACAAAGAAGGAATTTTTGGAAATAGACCACCCATTCTAGATGGAACAAATTATGACTACTGGAAACCTCGTATGATTGCCTTCTTAAAATCACTGGACAAAAAGGCTTGGAGAGCTGCTGACAAAGGATGGAACCATCCCACCATAACTGAGAAAGATGGGACAATCAGTCTGAAACCTGAGGAAGAATGGAGCAAAGAAGAAGATGAGTTAGCCCTGGGTAATTCCAAAGCTTTAAATGCCTTGTTCAATGGAATTGATAGAAACATATTCAGACTAGTACATCAATGTGAACTGGCCAAGGAAGTGTGAGACACTCTCAAAACTACCCATGAGGGCACATCCAAAGTAAAAATTTCAAGGCTTCAGATGCTGACTACCAAGTTTGAGAACCTAAGGATGAAGGAAGATGAAACCATTCATGAGTTTCACATGAACATCTTGGAGATTGCCAACACCTCAGGAGCATTGGGAGAAAAGATGTCTGAAGAAAAACTGGTGAGAAAGATTCTCAGATCCCTGCCTAAAAGATTTGCAATGAAGGTAACTGCTATAGAGGAAGCCCAGGATATCAGCAAGTTAAAGGTGGATGAACGCATTGGGTCTCTTCAGACTTTTGAGATGGGGATCAGTGACAATGTTGACAAGAAAAACAAGAGCATAACACTTGTAACCAACTCTGAAGATAAAAACAAGGAGGATGAAGAAGAAAATATTTCAGAAGCTATAGCCATGCTTGGAAGACAATTCAACAAACTCATCAAGAGAATGGATCCAAAGTCAAGGTCAAATGTTGAGAACATCCCCTCTGACATTAACAGATCTTATGACTCCAGCAGAAGACCAAGGTCTGAAGAGAAGGGAAATTAAGGCAGAGGAATTCAATTCCATGGTTGTGAAGGATATGGGCATATTCGAGCTGAATGTCCTACCTTTCTTAAGAAACAAAAGAAAGGAATGACTGCTACCTGGTCTGACTGTGATTCAGAAAGCAATTATGAAGAAGAATATGCCAAACTAGTTACTGCACTAACTGGTGTTTGTACCTCTGAAAGTGACACTAGTGATGAGGAAGTGACATTTGAAGAACTGGCTGATACTTACAAGAAATTGTGTATCAGAAGTGCTGAAGTCTGTGTGCAAAATGAGAGACAAACAAAACTCATCATAAAATTGGAGGCTGGAAAAAGGGCAGACCTTGAAACCATAAGTCATCTAGAAGGGGAAGTTCAAATGCTAAACTCAAAACTGAACCAGATGACCAAATCTGTCAAGATGCTGACAAATGGAACTGACAAATTGGAAGAAATCCTTCAGGTTGGACAAAATGTGAGAAACAAGTCTGGTCTAGGATTTGTGGCAGCAAAGAAATCTGGTGCAGACAAGAAGATCAGGTCTGATAAACAAATGTCAAAGCAGATGTCACAACATAACACTCAACATCGGGAACAGAGAAATATGAATAAGAAGTACCAAAGATGGAGATGTCATCATTGTGGGAGGTTTGGTCACATAAAGCCTTTCTGTTTCAGATTGTATGGATACCCTAATCAGAACCCAGGTGTCAAACCTAAGTCTAACAGGTTTCCACATACTCCTCAATGGAAGAAAAAGGCTACTGCCCTGATAGCCCACACTTCCCTGAGAGTCTCTACAAAGGAAGACTGGTACTTTGACAGTGGGTGTTCTAAGCACATGACTGGAATCAAGAACCTTCTCAATAATGTTAAACCTCACACCACTAGTTATGTGACCTTTGGAGATGGTGCTAGAGGTGAAATCAAAGGAGTTGGTAATTTGGACTGCCCTGAAGTTCCAAATCTGAATGAAGTACTATTGGTAAAAGGCCTGACTGCTAATCTCATTAGTATCAGTCAATTATGTGATCTAGGATTCAAGGTCAACTTCTCAAAATCTGAATGTCTTGTAATTAATGAAAAACAAGAAGTTGTAATGAAAGGAGTCAGATCTAAAGACAACTTTTACTTGTGGGAGCCTGAGAACACTAATAGCTCCACTGTGTGTTCTATTGCCAAAGAAGAAAAAGAGGTGAAACTGTGGCACCAAAAACTTGGCCATCTTCATCTAAGAGGAATGAAAAGGATTATCTCCATGGAGGCAGTAAGAGGGATTCCAAGACTGCAAATTGATGAAAGGAGAGTTTGTGGTGAATGTCAGGTTAGTAAGAAGACTAGGATGTCACATACAAAGTCAAGACATCTGACCACCTCTAAGGTTCTAGAACTTCTTCATATGGGACCAATGCAGGTGGAAAGTCTTGGAGGAAAGAGATATGCCTATGTTGTGG